CACTCATAACATGCATCATTATATAACTGCTCTATTTTCTGTCCTTTTTATTACTGCAACAGTAGAATGTTCTTAGGATTTGATGTACTGACATAAATGAAAATGTAAAGCTTTATTTTTCTAGAATTATTGTATATAGATTGAGTATGTACAGCGTCTGGAGTCTGCAAAAGAATTAAAAATAACTGCTTATATACATACAAATGGGGCTCAAAAAAGTAATATCCTCTATCAGGAGGATGTTCCTTTTTGGAATTCCATAGAAGACCCGGAGCCTCCAGACCATAAGCAGTTGTATTTAATTCTAATTTCTTATAGGCTTAGAATCCAGGATTGTTGTCGATGGGACCTGGCCACCTTTACTTTATTGCAAATTCTGGAATGTAACCGATAAATTCAATATTAATAAAATCAGCTCTTTCATATATAACTGTTTCATACATCATTCGCATACGAGTAGATTTTTGATTTTTTTTGTAAACATATTCCTTTGCATTTGTTTTAGACTCTTTAGTAATTCCTTGATTCCTAGGATAGAGCTATCTTAACTCTTGCATCATCGGCGAATTGTTGTGATTAGGATTGTTAGCTGACAGCCCACTCTAGGCAGGTGGTAAGTCCATATTGCATACACTCTTCTCTGCACATTCAATCTTTCTAATCAATTCTAATTCTTCTAAATTCAGTATTAGAGTCTATAATCTAAAGCCTGATAATGGAAATTTAACTATGCCCAAATATTTAATTAAAGATACATATATAATTTTGGAAACTATTTAGTCTTCATTTAAATCGAGAGTATTCTCTTAGGAGATGTAATTAACTACAGGCCCCTGTAGGGAGTCTAGATCCCAGAATAATCTAAACCCTGCCTTAGTTCTTTTCTGAGGTAGGGAAAAGATCTGTGTGCGTAGATTAAGTCTTATTCGTGTTTAGGAGTTATTTCTACAATTAATAATAGATAGATAGTTGATTTGTTTTCACAAACAAATCAAATGTCTTCTATGTTTAATTGTAGAAATAAGTTTACAATTCATTAATCTAATTGGGTCAATTAGGGAATGTACTCATCATCCCTTCAGGATGATTTGAATATTCCTTATATTACACCTGATTAGCAGAATGAATTGTACCCCTCTTCCTTTCAAACCAATAGAAGAATATTAGACTGCCCCTTGGGACGGTATAATATTCGACTATGTGGATTTAATCGGAAGAAAATATTCTGAACATAAATAAAATAAATCATGTGAGAGAATAAAACTACATTTTAAAGAAAACCCTATTTCATTTAAATTTTGTTTAAATTCATTCCCTTAATCAAGAAATAGGTAGATATCTGGCTTGCTTTCACGAGCAAGTTAAATGTCGTCTATATACTTGATTGTGGGAATAAATTAACGATTCATTAGACTAAATAGGTAAATAGGGAATGTATTGATTATCCTCTAGGATAATTCATATATTCTTTATCATGTACCTAATTAGAAGAATGAATCGTCGTTTTCTTTCTTTAAAATCCATAGACGAATATTAGTTTGCCTTTCGAAGCGGTCTAATATTTGACTATACGGATTCAATTGAAAGAGAATATTCAAAATAAATAAAATAGACTATTTTTAAATTTTTAAATAAATAAAAATATATATAGCTTATTTTTAATGAAATAGATTCTTCTTTCTCTCCTCCCCTCTCTTATATATGAATAAATATATTTTAAAATTAAAATAATAATATATTAAACTTTTGAAAATAAATAATGATATTTTCAATATTAAAAATAAAAGAGAATTTTATATACCTATTAAATCTAAATTAAATATTATATTATATATTTATATTTTAAAATAAAGTTAGAGATATATTTTATTTTCTCACGGGCTCGAGCTCGCGAGTTGAGCTTATCGAGCCACGAGCTCGAGCTCTAGCTCAAACTCTAGAAATGAGCCCGAGTTCGAGCTTGATGAAGTTCGGCTCGCGAGCCCGCAAGCCGTCTCAAAATTATTAAATTTAAATATTTTTATAAAAGTTAATAATAATAAATTTCAAAATCTCGCCGATTATTCTCTCTCTCTCTCTCTCTCCCTCCGCTGATAGGCTATTGTAATAAATGCTAATGAGCTAACACTCAAAAAAACTGCTCACATTTCAATACCCTCTCTCTCTCTCCTATGACAGCCATTGTAATAGATGCTAACATCCTAAAAACTGCTCACATCTCAAAACCCTCTCTCTCTCTCCATCTTCCTCTAGCTGAATTAATTTTTGGAGCGGCTAGAACTGGTTTTCTGTAGAACGAGTCGAGCTCGAGCTCAGTATTTGAGCTCGACTCGAGTTCAAGCTCGAGCTCGGTATTTGACAGATGAGCTCGACTCGAACACACCCTGACTCGAGCTCCACTCGACTCGTTTGCACCCGTAGTTGGTGCTAACAATTTTAACATGAAATAATGGAGAAAGATTTTAAATGATTATGATTACTAATTTATAAATTTGTAATGTAATGTAATGCAAGGAGTTATATTTATAAATAACCCTCGGATGAATGATATAACACATAAGCTTTTGTCATTCCCCACTTTTCTACAACTTGTACACTCCCTAACAAAGCATTCACATCTACAATCTAAATGCTTTGCATACGTAAAATTTTAAACATAGGAGATATACTTTTGAGTAAGATAGATCATGAACAAAATATAAGAGTAAGAAGACAACTATGGGAGAGAGAGAATAAGAACAATGGACCAAGAGGCATAAGCCTTGCCCTATTCTTCCTATATTTAATTAGCAAAAAGTTTATCAGGAGCGATCTTGTCATCTAGTGTCAAAATTCCTCTCATAGCTTTCTTAATGGTGGCTAAGATCCATAAAATGGTAAAATGTCCTCTTGCATCCACAATTTGTGCGTGCGTATCCATACATCTGATACTTTGATTCTCATTTAACATCACCTTATATTAAATTATCATCACCCATTCCTTAAATCAAATTAAAACACCAGCCTCACATCTCGACAACCTAAGACAAGGCACTCGCGTAGGCAAACCTTGGTAATGGCGATCACTATGGCCTATCATTGCCTCACCTAAGCGTCTAAGCAACCACTTAGCTCATTTTTAACATCGGTAAGTCATTGAGATGTACAAGGATAAAGTTTCCATGCAATTCAAGGCAAGTTTCAATTTGTGCAAGTACAAGGCGATCCAAAGAAGACTAACTAATCCTCAAAAATGTCAAAATCAGACAGCTAAATGTCGGGTGAACCCACTTTGTATTATTTTTTTGTTCTAAATCTAGGGTTTATTTTATCATGAGATAATTTGTACACAAGTAATAATGCTTTTGAGAACAAAGCGATAAAACTTCTTTCATTATAGCAAGCAATGCACTCATCTTCTAGACTTCTACAGTAGTATTTAGTTGGGGGTGGAGTAGAGAAACGCCATTACTTGGATTCTCATCGTGACAATTATCTTACAAGGTCAGCTTCGTCGATTCAGAATGTTGAGGTCCACAAGAGAGCGCCTTGGCATTGATATTCTGGATGGAATTCTCCAGGATCTTGTTCATGAAATTCAACTGGTCCAAAGATCAATGAAACTTCACAGCTTGCATAGCTAGATAGGAAAACTGTGTCCGCTAGAGGTCCCGAACCTCAAAAATTTCCTTATTGAAAGTTGAAACAAACGGTGAAGAGACTTATTCTCATCTTGTCTTAGACGAAGTATGATATTTGCATTAAGAAAAAAAATAGGCAAAAAGGTGATAACAAGATTCCTATAGTGAGTAAATGCTTTCATGGGATATTTGAGTAAACCCACCTCAGGGTGGTGCGCGTTATGGTACTTAGTGTCACCCTACAAAGAATGGCATCCAAGATGCTTTGATGGGTCATTGTGGCCTTGAACATTGCAACAAGATCAATGTATCAATATTGCTTATAAATTTCTCCAATAAACGTACTTTGAATTTTGGGGGCGAAGAAAACAAAAACTGCCCTTCATGTTGTTTTCCTCGGGAGGGCTAGGTGATCTCTATCTGCTCTTCAATGCGGTAATCAATAACACAATAAGATAATGAGAAAGAACAACAAAATGTAATAAAACAGTATACCTCAATAGTTTCCTTTAAAATTTTCTCAGAGTATGAGGCTGAGATAGATCATTGGATAAAAAAGAGGGGGCTGCGTCCAAGTTTGGTGTTCATGTGTGAGCGGAAAGTGGTTGTACAACCCACCAATATGAACAAAGATCAAGAGAGTAACTTGAAAGTAAATATATCATTAAGGTTCAAGAGATTTAGGAATATGGAAATTTAGTAGGTGCATAAAATCATTACAGAGTGGATACACAAGAAGATATTTTTGGAAATTCATGTGAATTGTTAAACATTGCATAAAATGAAAAGAACTTCTAGGATGAGTTGATATTTGAAGATAGATTTGAGTGGGAGCGCTTACAAAATGAATAAGTAATAAAGGGGCACAGTTATTACTGCTCAATACCAATTTCTTCTATTAAAAAGGCATTAAGAAGAATAATAGGCAGTCAGAGTGGACTTTCCCTGTCAAAGGTTATCGGAGCTCATTTTAAAACCAGTTTTTTTCCCTTTAGTAAACAGAATTTGGAAAGGATGAATTCGTATCTAGTAACAAATTAATCACAAATGGCTACAAATTTCTCACATTAGAAAATTGATCAGAAGGAATTGATGTAGGTTCAAGCAAAAATATCTAAAATACTTACAAGCATGTGGGTAATGCAGAACACCAATAAATGCTATGAGCAGCGAACGAGTAAAAACAAGACAAAAACTAACAGATTAATTTCATATTTAACAAAAAGAGGATCATTGAAACTCAGTAAGACAACTAGAGAAAACAAACAGTCTTTGGATAAATGCAAAACTTCCATAAAAAGAGTTCAATAGTTAGACTAGACTAAACTAAGTGTGCAAACAAGAAAGGTTAAATATATGCAAGCAGTGTTAAGAACTCACATATGCTCATCAGTTTGCTCAACGCCATACACAAGACTTTCAATGGAACCATGAAGACAGGTCAACCTTTTTTCTATTTCTGAATGAGGGAAATAAATAGACTTGTCCGCTCCAGGAGAGACTATATTAAACTTGGGATCAAAAACATCAATGCCATGGACTACCCGGTATAAACCAGGAAGAGTAAAGGCAGTGTGACTCTCGTATTGGCCAACTGTATTCTTGCTGTAACAAAACCAAGTGATTCATTACTCTCAAAATATACAACGCAAGAACTGTAAAATTTTCAAGTAGCTTAACAAAAAAAAGGAAAAAATAATAATTACAAGGAATCAATACAATTTGTGCTCCAATAATACTCGAGTTCTGGAAAAAGGTCGGGTCACCAAACACATTATCATTTGACCAAGTTTTAAACATACCTAATTTTATTAGATAAATGTAGAGATATGAGGCATTGGAGAGAGCGCACTAAGTAAACAACTTAGCAGTTCAATTTAACATTCCTAAGCAAATAAATAGTATGCAATTTTCTAACTCCATATAATTTTCTTAACTAGAGCAATTGATCATTATGAAGGGTGACACCAACTTGATGAAGAAAAAGGATTGCTTTTGATGCCAACAAGTTGATAGGCCCTTGACGATAATCAATTTCTCAATTTTCTTTTTCTTCCTTGTAAAGCTGAGAGAGAGTAGAAAATCCACCCAAAATTTGAGCCAAACTCGTGGTGAAGTTGTATACATAGCAGAATCTCTTAGGTGGTTGAGGCAACCAAGTTAAGACTAGTGTCCGGGACCAGAGCACTTAAAACATGCCAAAAAGGCTTTCATTAACATACAATACCGAGAGGTCCGAGATAATTCAGTAGAGCACAATCCGAATGAACTAACATGAAACACTTCTAATTTGAAACACGAAGAGCACTTCCAAGCCAGCACCTAATGAAAGGTTCCAAGCGGAAACTTGAGGAGCAATTCCAAATGATCATTCAAGGAATTCTTTGGAATGGATGTCTAAGGAACACTTTCTAACAAACAAAAGAAGAATCCTTTGGAATAACGAATAGCCGAGTCCTACTCCAAAAAAAAAAAAACATCAAAAGCGAAAGCCTATAAAACAAGACAATACAAGAGTTATCAAAGAAGACATAGGGTATCCCCAAATGATTCAAAACTTCTCCAACACTCAAAGGGGGTGTGTCAAATGTCTACAAACAGATACTACCTACAAAGGCACAAACATCCCTAGCATTGTTAAAATGAGTCACTAAAGACACTATTTAAGGCAATGATAAATCTAAAAAATTCCTGGACCAAATCCTTCAGTAAGCATCTCCATCAAAATAAAGGATTCATCTCTTTAAACACAGTACATATAACAATATATTCTCAGAGAACCACAAAAGAGAGTCCACCCCTATGCATGAAACCAACCTGAAAGAAGCTTAAACAAATACCATGTAAAATGAGAAAGGCATGATATTCCTTTGAATTTTTGCTAGTATAAGGGAAAATCCACTCTTAGAGAAAAATACAGAAAAAGTGAAGTCTAATTCTTTAATTATTCACAAATGCTCTACTCATCCACATTTTCCTTGTCAAATTTTTTTCTCAAATCAAGCGAACATGTTTGTCTCCTTCCCACCCAATCTTCCCATTCACTATGCTTCAAATTTAAATGTTAGCAAATAAAGTGTGCATAGAGTGGAGGGAATAAGAGAGAAAAAAATCTTTTCAAATTCCAGTCAAAATTCAACAATCCAAACAGCATCCATTTAATTAATATTAAAAGGAAATATAATTTAAAAATAAAATAAAACTAATTTCAATCAAATTTAGACAAATCTTAAAAAATCTATTTGATTTAAAATAAAAAATACTTCTAAAATTAAGTAAATAAAACTTAAAATAAAATCTTAATGAAAGGATCCAAACAACCAAGCCACCCTTTCAAAAGCTGGTCACAACTACCTTTCCATTTACATTTTTTTCTTTCTTCGGTTGTATGAACTATAAATATTGTAGCTTAATGTAATGAAAGGGCTTTTTGATGTTTCATTATTGAATTGAGATTGTGCGCTCCAGTGAAAGAGGCTTGGTGGCCAAATTATTTTGTTTGGTGAATTGCTTTTACCATTCTTGTTTCTTTGGTAAGAGCCAAGAGCGTTGACTTCTTTTCATTTGAAGTTTACTATTGAATTATCCTCTCTATTACCTTTTCTTCTTCCATTACCATCCTCCTTTCATTATCTACATCAAAATCAAACCAAAATAAGAGGATGAGTTGCTCGAACATTACAAAAATTTCAAATTGTAAAATGATCCCTCCACACGCTCCTAAGTCCCACCTCCGCAACTCCTAGGTCCCCTCTCCACACAGTTTAAGCTATGGTCCTAGCCTCTTCTTTTGAATGATATGGCACACGGACTAAGGCAATCAAACCCTTCAATTACTACCCTTGAAACCATTAAATCACCTCACTTGGATCCCCATTGCCGTCAACCTCTCATGGGGCTATTTTTCATATTTCATGCTTTTTATGTTTTGTTCTGATTAATTTACATTTATTAAATCCCTAGACAAGTCTATATATAGAGCCACTTCTTGCACAAACATATGACTTACAATAATTTTTTTGATCTTTGTTTACTCTCTTTTTAACACTGTCATTGTCAGGTTCCAAATCTTGGATGAGAAAAGTGGAGGGTTGCGTTAGGTAGTCGACAACCGCAAAGACCGTTGTACTAGCAATTGGGTGCAATATTAAATAGGCAAGGATTCCCGCATTATGGATGAATGTGGGCAAAAAAGCTACTCCATGAAATTATAATTAGGATAGAAATTTAAAATATAGGTTCTCTTGCAGACATTAATGAAATGAATAGAAATTATGATTCATAAGAAAATAAAGATTATATGCATTCAGGAAACTAAATGGGTTTGAGAGAATGCTAAGAAGATTGATAGTTTAGGATTTAAACTATGTCACTATAGTATGAGTCGTACTAGAATGATGTAGGTGTGATTATAGATAAGAGTTTGAAGGATAATGTTGTAAAAATTAATAGAATTTGATATAGAATTATAATTTTAAAGTTATTGTTGATGCTAAGATTATTAATATTATAAGTGCTTATGATTCTCAAATAGGTTTGGTATGTGTTAAAAATTAAAATTTTATAATGACTTAAGAAGAACTAAAACAAAAGATGTCTTTTGAAGAAAGAGTTTTTATTGAAAGAGATTTAAATGGACATATTGTAAAAAGGAAGATGATTTTAAAAGCATTCATAGTGGCTATGAGTTTAGAGCGACTAATGACTGTGGTAAGATCATATAAGATTTTGCTATAGCTAATGATTTTGTAATAGCTAATACTTATTTAAAAAAAAAATAGATGAGCATCTCATCACTTATAAGAATGGATATAATGAAACTTAGATTGATTATTTTCTTATAAGAAAGATAGATCATTTAGATTGCAAAGATTGTAAAATAATTTCGAGTGAAAGTTTATGTGCCAACATCGCTTGTTAGTTTTGAATTTTAAGATGAAGGGGCAAAATATTAAAAAATAGAGTAAAAATTTATTTTAAAATTAAATGAGGGCATTTAAAGAGTATTAAAGAAAAAATTTTGAGAGTAAGATTCTAGATCTTAATATTTTTTCTATGCATGAGAAAGCTAATGTTATGTGAGAAAAATAGCTAGTGATGTTAAGAATGTTACAAAGGATGTGCTAAGAGAGCAAAAAAAAAAACTCCTAATAGTAAAAATAGTTAGTGATGGAATCAAAATGTGCAAGAAAAGAAAAAAATAAATAAGATTTATTATAAATTTTGATTTAGATGTAAAAAATCTGAAAATTGGAAATGATATAAAGAGACTCGTAACGAGTCCAATAATTTTTCATTTGGATAGATCTAAACTCTAAAGATCGGCTATGTGGGGTCAGCTACATCAAGCCATTATCCTACTATGTGGGGGGTCGGCTACATGAAATCTTTTTTTTTTCTCCATTGTGTCATGTTAAGAGTCAAATTCTCATCTAAATCTAATAAAGAAAGATCGTTTCTGATATTTTTTAATCAAGTCTTTTTAGGTCTACCTCGACCTTTCTTAACATAAGTCAAATCAAATACATCTACTTTCCTAACCAGGTCATCGGAAGGCCATCATTTTATGTGACTAAACCATCTAAGGTTACTCTCTCTAATCTTATCTTCCACTGGAGTTGTTCCAACATTTTCACATATATGCTCATTTCGTATTCTGTCTTTAAGAGTAAGGCCACTTGTCCACCTAAGCATCCTCATCTCGACAACACTTAACTTAATATTATGCTTCTCTTTTAATAACCAACATTCTGTACTATAAAACATTGCAGGTCTCACTATCATCTTATAGAATTTTCGCTTAAGTTTGAGAGGGCCTTTTATACACATTACACAACAAGCACGATGCATTCCTCCACTTCAATCATACAACTTAAATTCTACTAATAATATCCCCATTTCTTTCACAATCACTCTGAACAATAGACCCACAATATCTAAAATGTGTACTCTCATTAATGACTTGATCGCCCAAAGTCACAATCCCGCCACTAGATCTATTATTACTAAAATTATACTCCATATATTCAGTTTTAGATCTACTCAAATTAAAACTTTTAGACTCTAAACATATGACAATAAAATTACAACAATTTTTCAACTCTTTTTACTTTCTTTTTCAGTCTTTACAAACCAAGTGCTCTCCAACTTGGAGTTGAAGAACTCATACTTCCACGCCATTTAAAATTATCCCATACATTCACATGACCATTAGCTACACCAAAAAAAGTGGAAAAAAGAAACCCATACGAAAGAGGTTCCAAATGCATGCCATTTGTGTTTGGAGAGACATAAAGATCATGAGATTGGGAGAACAAGAATGTAACTTTCACATAACAAAGAAATATGAAGAGAGAGAGAGAGATAGGATCTGTGATGCCTACTCCCAATCAGTGAATCACGTGAATTAGTAGATGATAACACCAAATAACAGTATTTAAAGGAAAGTCCGACGGCCCACCATCATGTACAGGTCAATAAGTCTCCAACCAACGGGTTAACTAGTCTTTATTTATTTGTTTCACACAAACACATTATTATCACAATACTATAACAGTAATAGCGACCATCTATTACTCAAGCACATATCAACATTCATTTTCAATGCATTGCAGCAAATAATGTATAATTGAGCTTAATTAATAAGATGCAAAAATATAATAATGGTAGACAATAAATAATCCTATTAGGCAAAAAATGCAAATTTTCAAAAAATTACAAAAATACCAATAATTGTATAAAACGATGTTTTAAAACTTTTTTGTACTACACTACTATTTTTAGAAGTCGAAATAAATTTCTAGGTAGACAAAAATCTTTGTATTTTCAAAAGCACATGTTGAAAAATCTTAAATAAATACTCAAAACGTTCATAATCTCGATCTTTATAGCATACAAAAAGTTACGCAGTTAAAGTTTTATCAATGCAAAGTTATTCAAATTTTTCGATAACAAAAAAACAAATTTAATCAGAAGAATATAAAAGCACAAAATCTTTGAAATCAGAAATAGGCTAAAAGTTCCTCACAGCGAAACGAGCAATTTTTCCAACAAGCTCGACTAACAAAAATCGCGCAACGGCCACCAAATCTAGGTTTTCAATTTCTCTCCTCACATTTCTCTCATTTTCTCTCTAAAACGTCTTTGTTGCCGAATTCAATGGGGAAAAAGGATTTAAAAGCCATTTAGTGACATAGATATTTTATTAAAATAATAATATTATTATTATATTATTTATTTAATTAATTTCTTTTAATATAGAATTCAAATAAATCATTTTAGGACTTTAAAAATTACATAAAAAATACCCATAAAATAAATCATTTTATTTAAAAAATATATGTGAAATCGTTTTGCAAATCAGATACATGATGGTCCCGAAATCCTCACTTGTGCCGAAAGACACCAATTTCTTAAGGATTTTCACATGTGCCAAAAAATTATGAAAAAATTCATGTAAGTAAAATACTACGATCAAAATACTATGATGAAGATAGATTACGATTTAGAATTATAATGACTCCAAAAAAATTGGCAAAATCAAAATACGAGCTATTACTGGATCCTATCCCAAGAACTCTCAGTTTGAAGAAAGATATTATGGGGGAGTGATAGGAGAAAGAATAAAACTAAGGGAATTTTTTTCAAATTTCATTCCTCGTTAAATAATCCAAATAGCATCCACTCAACCCATATTTATAGAAATAATTTTACAAGATAAAATCAAACTAACATGAATTCAAATCCAGATAACTCCAAAAAATCCTATAAAAGATTTAAAGTTAAGATAATCCAAATTTTTAATAAATAAAACTAGGATAAATTTCTAAAATAATAAAATATTCAAGAAATAATCCAATATTACTTTTTTATGCATGTCTTGTTCTGTATCAGTGTTCCTTTAGTCAAAGAATTACATAACAAAACTGACCAGGAGAGTTAACAAAATCCACAACTCTCTTGTTTACTGAGCTACCATCAAGAATTTCAAGAGAAGCCAGTTCAATGAACACTCAAATCAATGAAAAGATAAAAACTAGAAAAACACAGTTAAAGAAGAGTTAACATGAATATCGATTACTTCGCTTATCTTACATAAGTTTCATTTGTTCTCTAAAAAGGCCAAAACAGTACCTTTAAAGATTCAAAAAATTGTCAAAAAAATTTTACCAGAGAAGAATTTTTAAACTCGTAAATACCAAAAACCAACTGGAGCATATTTCAGGATGTCAAAACCTAATGAGCTTAGGTAACTGCAGCATAGCATCCTCAACCCTCTATAGAAAAGAATGGCCGGGGATATTTAGAAAGTGAAAGAGATTACCTTCCAGCTATCTCTTGGTAGGTACTAGTGATAATAAAGTCAGCATTGTTCATAGCAATTAGATCAGCAGTAAATTGAGATGAAAAATGGTACTTTTCCTCGTAGCTTTTCCAATATATGTCTGAATCTGGATATTTTGTTTTTTCAAGCGCATGAGCAATGGTGCACTGCATGACATATAAAGAAGGTAACCAAAATATGAACTCACAATGCGCATGTAACAAAAATATCTATCCATTGCAAACCTGAGTTACTCCTAGTTTATATGACAGCAAGGATGCAACAAGGTTTCCATCGCTGTAGTTCCCAATGATCAGATCTGGAGTGCCATGTAATTCAGCCGCTATTTCACTTGCTGAATCCTAATAAACAGGGAAAGGAAAACAGTTAGAATGTCCAACAATTATGAGGCATGTACAAATGATAAAAAGGATAGGACAGTCAAAATTGTCTGTAAAAAATATAAAATCAAACTGGAGTAAGAGCATTAAAGGATTACGTATGCTAGAATGCTTGAGCAACTAGAAGTTTTAAGCAAATCAGAGCATCGGGAACTAGAGCTACCTCATTGCAATTGCTTTGAAACTAACATTGCAGAAAGTTTATTTGACATATCTAACACGATTTGTTGAATGGTGTTTGCTTGTCCGCTTTTTCCCCTTCTATTAATGTTTCAAACATTAATAACATATAGCATATAACTGGTGCATACAATAGCATGGAAGGAAAAAAGTACATTTGTACTACAATATTGTTGTCTGAATGGAAAGAGATGCATGAAGTGGTAAAAACTACTACCTGATTTGCTGCAAGCTTTACGTCGAATGATTTGAAAGATCATAAATAAGTAGATCACAAAACAACCATCTTCTTAGTGTTTAACTAATATGATTGAATTCACACCATGCATGCCGAAAAGCTAATAGACATGGGATGTTATGGGGTGATGATAGGGACAAGGAAGATGGAGAGGAATACGGGTACCTGTAGGTGGCTACTCCTACACTACAGGGGGTGCATATAAGGGAGGATTTTCTTCCGTTGAAGTTAGGAAGCACTGACATGATATTGGGTATGAAATGAATGCAGACTTTGGGGGAAGCACGAATAAATTGGAGTGCCCTGACAATGGAAATCCATGTGGAACGGATGAAGATGCTCATTAGGGGGATTCTAGTTTATCCAAGACCATGGTGAAAGCTATACAAGGCAGGGGAGGGAGATAGTAGAGCTTCAGAGTATGGAAGGGATTCAGGATGATGAGGTAGCGGAGGTACCATTGCTAGTCCAACTGCTACTACACTAGTTTGGAGATATATTTCAGGCCCCTCACAGTTTACCACCCTCGAGGAAGCAAGAGCATGCTATTACCATGAGGGAGGGAGCTACACCCAACAATGTTAGACCTTATAGATACTCCAACATTCAGAATTATGAGATAGAGAAGTTGATTCGGAAGATGTTGGAGGCGAAGATCATCTGGCCGAGCGTGATTCCGTTCTCGAGCCCGATATTGTCGTGAAGAAGAAAGATATGAGCTAGAGATTCTTTGTGGATTATCGAGCCCTGAATAAAGAAACCATTCTAGGTAAGTTTCTTATTCCTATGATAGATGAGTTGTTGCCTGTTGGACAAGTTGTGTGGAGCGGTGATCTTTCCAAGATTCATTTGAAGTCAAACTACCATCAGATAAGGATGAGAGCAGAAGATGTGCACAAGACTGCTTTCCGAACAAATGAGGGGCTCTACAAGTTCTAGGTGATGCCTTTCGACCTCACTAATGCTCCAGCCACCTTCCAATCTCTCATGAACCAAATGTTCCAATCGTACCTCTGGAGGTTCGTATTGGTATTTTTTACAATATTCAGATTTACAACAAGACCCAGGAAAGGCACTTGGATCATCTGAAGGTGGTTTTGGCAACTTTGAGGGAAAACCAACTATTCACCAACTTTAAAAAATGCTCCTTTGCACAAAATTAAGGGAATGGTATTAAAATGCAGCACCACGTATCACCCCTAGATGGATGATCAAACATAGATGGTGAACCGCATTGTGGAAACTAATCTACTGTGTTTTGTATCTGCACCCCAAAAGTATGATCAAAATGGCTAGCTTGGGCGGAATTTTGGTATAATACTTCTTATCATATAGAAGCTCAGACGACACCATTCAAAATCTTGTATGATAGAGATTATCTCCATTTGGTGAATTATGGGCACAACAGCACATCAATGTTTAAAATTGCGCAATTGGATATTGAGGCGTTTTTTGTTCATGAGGTGAGGCGTAAGCCTCAAAATTAAAAAATTGTGTAAAGTGATAATACATGTCAAAAGTGACTTTTTATATAATATCTAAATAATATGTTAAATGATGACATATTAACTTTCTATTGAATTATGAATTAACAAATTAACATACACATTAAACAAAAAATTGCACATGATCTAAAATGACAAGTAATAAATTATATGAAATAGATTTAAAATCCAAATATTATAAAATAAAAATAATATTAAATATAGAAATTGCATAAAATGATCATATATCATCAAGATCAACACCAAATTTTCTTTTTTATCAATTCTCTACTCATTTATATTTAATTCTTAATAAAAGCTGAAATAGTTCGCAATAACTTAGGAATTATATGCACTGTCATCACTGAGGCGGTCTTTATCTGAGTTGTTGCATAAGAATTGGTATATCCCCTGCCTCATTCAATAGAGTTGAATGCCTACCAATATGCTTCTTTTTAATTTATTTCAATCATATTAATCTTTTAGAAATATTTTCATCAACATAAATATGAAATTAATGCTCCAAAATTTTTAGGATGGTTGTGTGCAACTTTCAAGTGATTGTCGGTGATGACTATAACGGTGTTGGCTACGACGAAGGTCGCGGGATAGAGGTAGAGGCAATATAGAGAAAGTTGTTGCACTCGAATGTGCATGAAGGCGTGATTTATGTTAGTTTTAACATAAAAAATATACAAATAGGATGATACGTAAGCATCACGCTAGTGAGGCGAGGCGTGACTCAAGGCGGGCCTCAACCAAGTTGTGGCGCAAGCCTCATAAAAAAGTTAGAGGTGTAAGCCTTGAGGCGTTTTTCACTAGAATTGCACTGAGGCGGGCCTCAAGGCGATCCTCATATAGCGCAATTTTAAACAATCCTCAAAGAGCATTATTTGGAGGAAAGGGACCACATATTAGTAGAATTAAAATGACACCTATTGAGAGCCAAACAAATCATGAAAAGCAAGCAGATGCAAACATGAAAGATGTATAGTTTGATGTCGGGGACAGTGTGTATTTGAAGCTCCGACAATATAGACAAAAGACTGTAGCAAGAAGAAGGAATGAAAAACTTTCTCCCCGCTATTTTGGGCCCTATGAAATAGTGGAACGCATCGGCGTAGTAGCTTACTATTTGGACTTGCCACCCAACGCAATTATTCATCCAATATTTCATGTATCATAGGTGCGACGAGTGATTGGAGAACATGCACAATCCTCAACATCAATGCTTACATTGACCGATGATATGGAATTGATTTTGGAGCCAATAGAAGTAGTAGTGGTGCACAAGGGAGAGACCAGGGCGAAGGAGGTATTAATTAGGTGGAAGAACTTGCCAGAATACGAAGCCACATGGGAGCACTATCAGACGATTAGGAAGCAATTTCCTTCCTTCCACCATGAGTACAAGGTGTCTTTTTGGGAAGAGAGTAATGTTAAGCTAGCGGGGCCCACCGAGGCGCTTGGGGTGGCTAAGCAAGTAAAGAGGGGAAGCATGGGGAAACTCATATGGGCGGCAGCATGGGAAACCAAAGAAAGGGGCCCAAGCAAGGAAAGATGGGCAGCATGGCGAACCACCATGTGGGTGGCAGTATGGGAAAACAAAGTGTGGGGCCCAAATCAACATTAATTACCTAACAAAGGAGGGGGAAACTTAGGAGGTAGTAATGTTATAAAAGGGGGTCATAGGAGGGGATTGAGGGATGCATATTTGGAGAGCAGTTTGGAGGAGGGGACGGCTATTGCTCTCCAGAGCAGGTTCCAAGGAGTTTCTTGTATGGGAGAGCTAATCTACCTCTCAAAGAGTAGATTAAAGTTATGTTTCTTTCTGGTGCAGTTGTTCTTTGTTTTTAAGGGACTTGTGGTTTTCTTGTACAGGAGCATTATATTTGTTGTTTTCTTTGATTTAAAGGTGTTGTACTAGTGTTTTCTCATCTTTGGGTGCTATTTTAGTGAAAAATCTACCATTATATTGGTTCAATTCCTATCAGTTATTCACCCAACTCATAGGCAAGCTCTAGATATGGTTCAAGTTTTAAGTTTGATCTTCTCCATGCACGGGTAGATATCATTCATTGCATGCCACCGCTAGCCACTAGTCTACACATTTTATCTTTTCATGTAAAGTATATGCTAAAATATTTCTTCTCCTCTAATCTTCAACATCATTCTTTCTAATAGCTAAACACCTCGTAACACTACATGGAGCTCACTACACTCTCCTAAATCATCATTTAATAAAAGTATGTCATCAATGATCTCCTTAATGCAATCATCCTACTAATCATCTCCCTCTAGAAAACATATTTAAGCTTTGAATTGGTATTGCATGTGCCTTTTCTTATAGCATTTAAAACGTATAATCTCCATAATATTCTTATGAGGTGGGATCAGTAAATGATCTTAGTGCCTTGAGCACTACCTGCAGGTGGATTACATCTAGCACTAGACCTCAAGGCAAAAAAATGTGGTGCTTTAGGTTCGTATTCTAGTGATAAGACTTTTTTTTTCCAATGAGGGGATATACTGAAATACATCCTTAAACGTTTGAGAGTCATGTAGTTCCACCTCATTCCCAATCTCCATCCTAAAGTCAAATGACAAATCTATTGGCAAGTTGTCAATCAATATCAGTACATCCAGTCCTAAAAATTAAATCCTCAAATGTATTCAAATACTTAGTCGCCTACATACTACTTGCTTGGGAGTAATCAACTATCTATAAGCTTTCTATCATGATGACTTGGACAGCATTTTCACCTTAACATTTCATTTATTCCTACGCAAATAATAACTAATATCCCTAGCATTTCTTCTTCTGCTAATGCATTTGACCAATAAAAATTGGGCATGATCAATCAACTTAATTTTAGCACTTTGTATAAGTAAGGTGAATTAATTATGTGATAAATTTTAGAGATGAGAGGAATTAAAATTTATATGATGGAACTCATAACTCACATAAATTTGGCCTCTAAAATACAATTTGAAAGGGTATGATAAAGAAAAGTGGCGAGGTTCTTATTTAGAGTCAACATGTGGTTTGGCAACCTATCTTCGTTTGTTAGTTGGGAGCTAAGGCTTTCAACAAAGATATTGGATTCAAGTCCTTGCATATTCAATGCATCTGAGTTTGCAATTAAATTCGTTCAAAAAGTTCAAAATTAATACTTGTGGACCTAGGGCACAAATATCATAGATTGCTACTTAATATTGCAAGCCAACCATCTAAGCATGAAGAAATGAATCATTTAAAGGAAATAAACATAGAAAATAATTAGTGATGCAACTGCAAATGGAAAAGCTTTATCATGTATACAAACCAAGCCGAGAGGAAGAAGTTATTTTTACAAACATTTCTGAACTACATTCCAATCACTAGGTTATCACTGACCCCGATCTACTCAATGAAGGTAGTCCACCAAATCTAATTGAAATATCCTAATTAGCAATCATGTGTTTTGTCATCCTAATATCGTATACTTGGTTTAAGTTAAAATTGACTAATAGAGGCTTTATATCCTATCAAGTGTGACTTATGGCTCATAACTAATAAATTTAGCCATTGGAAAGCAATTGAGCTTTGGTTAAAATTGAAGTATGACGGCGTTATTACAATCAGGCTAATCACATTGTATGAAGATGCATGACATGTCCTTACTGACATCAAATTTTTTTTAGTGTGATTCTATGTATTTACTTGATATAACATTGACACTTTACAAGCATTGGTCAAATAAAAAAGTATCATACAATGCAGCGGATTAAAAATGATTCTAAATTTATTGTTGTTAGGCAATGCACTGTGAAATTTGGAATCACTGTGAAATACATACACGATGTTACCTATGATGTAACTCCTCTAAATGTATATCATGTAATCCTAGGGATCTCAATTTATGGGATAAAGATGTTAGGTATAATAAAAGAGAGCAAAAAATTTTATTTGTAAAAGCAAGGAGAAAATATATAGCAAGCAGGTTCATTGCACAAGCAAAAGGATTTTAGAGCATTTTTTTTTTTGGCAATTTTAGAGCATTCATAAACACAAGGAGAAGACAAGATTCTAAAACATTCTAGAATACATGAAAACATGAAGGCGTGCAAATAATTAAATTTAGCTAAGAAGTTTTTAGGGTTCTTGGAGTAATCGGGGAAGGTTTAGGATTGACGTAAGGCTAAAGGATAATGTTGACTATTTTATGGTTTCTAGACATATTTGCGATTGGGACTTTCTTGTAATGGATAGTTGCGTTTTCCTTAATGGAAAAAGGTGAGGATCTCAAGATCAAAGGTCTGGGATGCTAGTTAATTTATGGAATTGATTCTAGGTCAATTAAATATATGAATAAAAATGTATGAATTACGTAATGTTGATAGATTATAGCAAGTGAACAATATGAGTTAGGGAATTGTTGAATGGAGGTTTTGTGATTTTTGAGAGGGTTGAAGATATTTAAGGCTTTGAGAATATAGGGGGGATATAGGACAACAAATTTACATAAGGTGAGAAATATGTTAGAGTTCACAAACCTTAATTATGATTGATTCACAAATCAATCCAAAAGTTAACAACTCATTATAGACACAATTTTTTTACAATAGATCAAAATTATTTTCATTGAAGCTAATGGGTATAAATAATAAAATAAGAGATGGGAAAAACAAAGAAAATATAATTGGAATTACATCAATATTTCCTCCATAACAACACCTTCCTAAAACATGAAAGGCCAGCTATTATAGTCCCCTCCTTACATGAAATGCCTCTTAAACCACTCCAATTGAAAGAATTAATGTGATCTTGATTGCTCTTAATTTGGGTTGATTTAATAGCTTCCAAAAAATTAAATTACATTCAGTCATGCATTTAAGGAATGAGAGTGATACGTGTTATTTGGAGATTTCTTAATTAATTTGAAGGACAGGCTAGCCATATTTAATTTGGCCACTTTTTATTATTGGATTTTTTTTTTCAAGATGGACCTTAATAGCACGCCAAATTTAGGAAAGGGATGAGCTATGCTGGAATGGAAGTTAAATTCAAACTTCCATTGTATCTTTATGCTTAAGTTTCATGTGATTGTTCTTCAATTTTGTGAACTTCATTCAAGTTACTATCAAACAAATATTATTTATGATTTTAGCTTTCATTGTTAGGCTTAATTTCTTCCTCGTGTTGTATCAAAACTTCTAGTCTTGTATACCATCAATAAACACAAGGAGAAAATAAGCTTCTAGAACATTTTAGAACACATGAAGACACGAAGGGATGAAAATAATTAAAGCCACAATGGCTTAATTATAATATATGCCGTCAATTCTATAATAAAGGGGCAGCCAAAACAAGAATGACCAAATTTGAAATGAGTGAAAATGACCTCCAACTACTATGGAGGGGAGAGAGAAAAAGCAGCTCAAAATAAGAAGATTGATATCTCCGTTATCCATGTGTGGTCGGCCAAGTCATGAGCTTATGAAAAATTTAAGGGTGATTTCAAGCAATTTCTATATATTTGAGGATTATCTAGGATTAAGTAATTATCAAATAATCTAGATTACATACATGAAAAGGGATCATTAGTTTTAAAATGGATTTCTCTATTATTTTTTATAACTCTATATATTCAGAAATAAAGGTCCACTATAATTCGTTTTAATCATAATTCAACTAACCTCCATAAACCTCTATCTCTCTCTCTCTCTCTCCCTCCCTCCCCCTCCCCCCCTTCCTCTCAAAAGTAGAAGGCTCAAGGTGGCAAGAAGAAAGCACAATTAAAACAATAAAGAGTAAGATCAAGGAGGAATATAATTTAAAAAAAGAAAGGAACACTGATAGAGGTGAAGGCCGTCAAAAGTTGTTGAGCATTGGGTACTGACCTCTTTCTACCTTGTGTTTGTTAGGGTTAAATCAGATTCTATCCTTCTCTTCTTTATTTGGATGATTTTTATGAGTTTCTTAATAGATATATAAAATCCTGATTCACTACTTAAACCCAAGCAAATAATAGACACTCTTGTTATTCTTTATTAGTTTTGTATTGGGTTTGTCGGTCATAATCCCCTCCAAACTACAATATAAACTCTTCTATGCATTATTAAGCTCCATATATACAACCGAAAAAGTTCCCAAGGGATCGATTTCAATCATAAGGGCACTGTTAATCCCACTGGTAGATCAAGATCACCCCTCTAGTGTAGTTTAGAAGTAACAAACCATCAAAAGTAACTTCGTTTACAAAAATGAAGAGACCATATAATACCAAACAATAACATTGATGAGAAGTAAGATTTCAAATTTACCGTCTATGAAATAGCCATTTTCACTGTTTCTAACCAAAACTCAAGTCAATCATGCTGATATGTCATCAAATATTAGAGCATAAGCAACCAAAAATGGAGTTTACTAATTAAAACCGCAAAAGTAAGCATGGGAAGAAACATAAAAAGTTTAACATTCAAGTATATTAACCTCCGCAAATTTCTCCAAGTAAGGCCACACATCAAATCTTGAGATCCATTTTCTGAGAATTCCATTTTCATTTCTAAAAGGAATCCGCAAAATGTGAGTGTGCTTTGTTCCAGTAACTCTCTCAAGTCGTTGGTTGCATGTCGTTCCTTTTGCTTCAGGTATCAACCTTGTAATCTTTCATTTTCAAGGAAATTAAAATATGTGATTTCTCTTGATAGAAATAGAGAAGTAGCATTAATTAGAAGTGTATTAAACTTAGGTCTCTTGCAAATAAATTAAGATGAGGTTCAGTAGTGTTAGGGCTCGGGTGTGTGTGGAGGCGTGAATTGAAGATAGGGTAGGCAGGTGGTTTGGGGCTATGATCAAACTACTTACAATAAGAATTCGTGGATCAACATCTAGTCCCTGGTTTTTAATCCGCTGAAGCATTTCGCCCTCCAAAGCACGAACTTGATCCAATATATATACAACCTACATAAAAAAGGCAAAAAGATGTCAACTTATAAGTGTTATTGTTAAAAACATTTTAAGAGCGACAAGATGACATGTAAATATCATGTTTATCCGAGAGTTGAATGGAGAACCCAAGTAAAAGTAAAAAAATCAGTATTATTTAACTTTAATTAAAGAGTACCTGCCCTCCAGTATCAGGTAGACCCAAAACACTAGCCTGGCCAAAATAGCCATGTGGTGAAAGAATTACAACATTGAAAACCATTGGAATCCTCCCCAGAAACTTCTCAAGGGATGCTGGATCAGGTGCCTGAAGTATATCCAAAAGAAGGTGGATCATCTCGAGTGCACGCTCAACTGTGTCACCCCAGCCTTTTTCCAGACCCATCTCCTGAAACCTGGAAATTAAATAAGAAAGCTTCATAATGTGTTAAGAAAACTTAAATATTCGTATTATTTTAAAATGTGGATCCTACTTTGTTCTGATATAGTAAGATGTATTTAGAAATATAATACTAGACAGGAGAATCATGCACAAGTTCATCGAGCTAATTTTCAATGATCCACTATTAAACCAAGGTTTCATTATATTGGTAATGAACAATAGTAGTTAATGTATATCCTGAAAAAATCGTATTAAATGAAGCCCCTAGCAACTAAGAGCAAGAAATCATAATCTATGTTGTCTGCGAGCATGACCAAAAACAGCCATATAAAAAAATGAGGGAACTTTCCTTAGGAATAAAGACATCTTCGAAAATCTCCCATATAATTCAGCATGGGTCACTATTATCAAAAGATAGTCGATATAGAAGTATAAACTATCTTACATGTGAGCAAATTCAGAGAAAGGTGTCTTGGGGTCGATCTTAGACAGATACTCTTCAGCCTTGGATAGGGTGGACTGTAGCCTTGATAAACTTTGTATCCTATCGTTCAGCATCATCATCTGGCCATGTACGTAGCAATCCCAAGATAAGTAACAGCTACAAGAAAATTAGCAGATCATTCCTATCCAATGCAACTTAAGCTTACATGGCCCTTATATTTGTGGGCTCTCAGAAAGTTGAGCAAAGGTTCTAAGCTTTCCCTGTTTCGAAACATGACTGAAGAAAGATGCCGATTAAGGAATTGAACACCATTTCCGATTGAAGAAGATCTGTTCGGGCGAGGGAAATCCGCATTGAAGGGCTCAAAGTCCAGCTCCAAAAGATATTTATCATTAGAGCTGTCAAATTATTTATGAAACGTAACAATTCAGTGGGAAAGAATGACTAAAAAAACTTGAAGAAAGGATGTTCCGGATATATCATTACCAATGTTCATCAACAAGTTTTTCCTTGAACTGTAGGTACTCGGAAACTTCAAGCTGCTCCACGATGAGTTCGTGGACGTTCACTCGGACGAACTCCCACACGCCTGGTCGCGGGCGGATAGCAAGGGCCACGAATGGAGGCAATACAATTGCCTCCTAAAACAATCAAAAGCAGATGTTGGATAAGACGATCTAGAATAAATTGAACTAAAAAGAGAGAATCTAGAAGAGGACCTGGGCTGACTTAAGGATCTCGAAGAAGGAGTCCTCTGCAAGCTTCTTGTCGTCAGCGATGACGGCTGAGAGGCCATCAAGGAGGTCATGTGGCTGTAGGATACTCTTTCCCTGGTTGACATACCTAAGGGAACGGGGAAAAATAGAGTTAGTGCTTAGGGTTTCAAACCCGATGATTGGAGCGATGAGAATGAAGGAGAGACTTGGAGAAGAGGGAGACGAGATCGTTGCGGTGGGCCAGGAGGGTATCCTCGACCCTCTCTCGCATGCTCGGCACGCGCCCTAGCTTCTGCGTCGCCATGGCGATTCGTCGCGTCAGTATAACTTTCTGGAGAAGAGAAGAGAAGGAGCTGGAAGAGAGGACTCCTGGAAGAGTGATAGTTCGCGGGAGACGGAAAGGTGCGAGACTGCTAAAATACTATGGAGTCTAGTCATGCTTTACGGATAATAAAAAGTATTATTGGGTGGCCTCATCCTCATGCTAAAGTTGGCAAAGCGTGGGTTCAAGGCTTGAAGCCCTTTCCTTCAATTTTGTACGACGCACTAATTTAATCATACTTATATAGTATATATATTATATTATGTTAAATTAATATACGAAAGTGGGCGTCGATTTTTTTTTATTATTATTTTGAGACAAAAGTCGTATATTCAAAAAAAAATTATAAATGATAAAAGAAAGATAAAATTATAGTCTTGATTCTCGGTCACAAAAGGAGAAACCAAATACTCAAAAATGAGGAAACAAAAGCCCTCACGCAGCAGCAACAAAAAATAAAGCAAATTTGTAAAATAGGACAGGTTGCTCTTGAATAAACACCAATTTCCAGCACAAAAGGGACAGCACAAGAGCAGAACCCTGGTTGCAGAAGAGACCGTCCAAGAGGCAGTTGTAATGAAAAGCATTCATCATTGTCCTATAAAAAAACAACCAAGCCATCACAAGCAGAAAACATATAGATAGGAGCATGTTCGACAGAGAACAGCAAAGGCATCAAAAATTCTTCCACGATGAGGTCTTGCGAGAAAAGGCGTTCCTGATTTTTGTCATCACTTTTGCTTTGCAATCAACAATACCACCGAAAATCCTATCATTTCTAGCTCGCCAAATAAAGTAAATATTTGCACAGGCAACCAAAAGATGATAGTTCACACGAGAAGCAGCATGACCCTGGTCAAAAACACTCTCCAACGCCTAGTGTAAATTCGGTCTCATAAGATAGTTGCCCAACCAGAGAAGGAAATTTTTGAGAATGCTAAAAGAGAAACTGCATTCAAAGAAAATGTTAGCTAAAGTTTCTTGCTCGATATAGCAAAAACAGCATTGGTGTCAACGCTGATACCACGAGAGCGAAGCACATCAGCAGTTTTTAAGCCATGTTTGAACGCCATCCAGGCATAAGCTGAGTAACAAAGGGACAAAATTTTGTTCCATACCCATTTTTTCCACGGAACCAGGGGCAGGGTGCAGTAGAATTAAGAATTGAAGTTTCTGCAGTTCGGGTTAATAGTGTCCATCAAAAAGTGGTTTTCAAACTGATTATGAATGTGGACTGCTTATATTTTAGAATAATTGTTGCCTCGAAGCAATAAGGGATTACCCAACTATTCCCAACAATAATTTTGGCAACATCCCAGCTATAAAAGGAACTTAATTCTTGGGTATCATTCAAAATATCAGCAATGGAGGAACTGTTGCACCACGGGTCCTATATAAGGGAAAGTTTGCTTTCAGAGTGAATTACCAGAGAAATGCACTGCTTTATCTTATCAGCCATATTGCATAAATGATTCCAATACTAAGAACAATTTACAGTCGTAACTTTCCAGAGAGATTGATATTTGGAATGCCAACAGTCAAAAAGCATATTGCTAGAGCTTAGAAACCTCCAAATAATTGAGCATGCAAAGTTATGGTATAATGAGTCAATAGAGAGGATACCCAAGCCTCCATTAGATTTGGGTACACAAGTGTCTTTCCAAGAAATAGTGTGCAATTTCCTCATATTAATGTTGCCAAAATCAAGAAATCGAGAGCACATTTTGTTGATAAGTTTACAGCAACCTTTGGGTAATATTGAGCCATGAATTCAAGTAGGCCAAAGTATTGCTAATAGTGAGTTTGAGGTATTGAATCCTTCCAGTAAAAGAGAGAATTTTGGCTTTCCACCCATAAAGGGAGGTGGAGATTTTCTGAAGTAAAGGTTGAAAATCTTGAAGTTTCAACTTTTTGTAAAATATTGGTAAGCCAAGGCATTTAATAGGAGATACAGATTGTTTCACCAGAAGAATATCACAAATATTAGCCGCTTGGATAGAATCTTTAGAGAACAAAATAGTGTTCTTTTGAGGATTGACATGAAGCCCATATACACAGCCAAACCTTTAAAAAATTATGTTGGGAGTTTGAGCATTAGAGATTGTTGCTTTACCAAAAATTAAAAGATCATAAGCAAACATTATGTGAGAAATAGCACATTTGCCTATAGAGAAAGCATTGAAAGTAGAGTTTCTAGTGGCATTATTAATACAGGAGGAGAGTCCATCCATAACAATGTTGAAGAGGTAGGGGGAGAGAGGACAACCTTGGCAAAGACTGAATGAGGAGTTGAAGAACCACTCAAGGGCCCCATTAATACATAAAGAGAAATGAATGTCAGAAGTATAAGCTTTAATCCATGAGATAAACAAGTCAGGGAAGTCCTTAGCAACAAGCCTCTTGTACATAAATGTTGACCTCATTTTTGTATGAGGTCACCTGGACCAGTCCTGACCCCAGATCAATTTAATCTCTAGACCAATCCAAACTCTAGGATCCAATTAGTGAATGATATTCTCTCCTTTTGAGATGGTATATCGTTCTTAATATCGTGTTCGATTCCAAAACTAAAATTCAATTTTTTAACTTTCCCAACGAAAATTAATACTTTTTCAAAACTATTTTTTTTTCGATCAAACAATAAACTCCTTAGATAATGTATCAAATGCTTTTGTGATATCAAATTTGCCATAAAATTACTTGTATTTGCCTTTGTGATTAAAGTTTCTAATAAGCTCAGCAGTAAGAAGAATGTTGTCCGTAATGATCCTTTTTTGAATAAAGCCCCATTAACTTGGGTGAATGATGAAAGGTAGAATAACTTTCATCCTATTTGCAATGATTTTGACAATGATTTTATAAATAACATTGCAAAGAGAAATCAGTATAAAGTTCTTGACATCGTTGACATGAGGGATTTTAGAAATTAAGGCTATGGTCATGGCTTTTACAAGCTTGGGCATGTGTCTAGTGAAGAAAAAGTAGGTAACAACATTACATAATTATTGCATGATCGTGTTCCAAGTGATTCTATAAAACTCAAATGTGAAACCACTGGCCCTGGACCTTACTAGTGAAGATGATGTTTTTAATTTCCTCAATAGAGATTGGAGCAGTAAGAACCGGTACAAGATGATCATGAATCTTATTCCTAACAGGAATGTCATGGTAATGTATGTAGTGTTGGGAGGGGGATTGGTATTGAACAACTTTTGGTAGTGGTTAATAAAGATTTGGGAAATGGCATGATGGGAATTAAAAGTTCCTTGTTAAGTGATGATCTCTTTGATACAGGTATAATTTTTGGTAATATTAATTTTGGATTACAAGATTTTTAAATCATCTTCACCTTGGCTTAACCAATTCACCTTTGCTCTCTGGGTGATCCAACTAGTAAGGGTGGAGTGATAGTAGGAAAGCTTGGAGTTTATGACATTCAAATTGGCATTCAGGATGGGATCAAGAGGATCATCTTGTATTTTGGAAACAGCATGGTTTTGGAGAGAAAACAGAGAGTCAATCTCCTTTTGGATGTTGTTGGAATTAGACCAATGCTTGTGCTTGATGGTGTTTTAAAGAGTTTTTATATTAAAGGTGAAAGAGCACATGGGACTACTCGAGTTGGGTTGTGAAAAGATATCAATAAGGCAATCCAAAAAGTCTGGAAGCTTGGAGCAGTAATTTTTATACATGAACCTTTGGCCTTTAATATCTTTAGCAGAGTTCAACATAATAAGGGGATTATGGTCAGAGCAACTCAGATCACCAACTCTATAGTAGGAGTTGGGAAAAGTGGCTAGCCAATTGTCATTAATCAGAACACGATATAATTTAATGTGTATGGGATTGTTATGTTGATGGTTGTACCAGGTGTAAAAATGCCCCACGAATGAGAGATCATGACAACTGGTATTGCAAATCATACTATTAAAATCTCCAAGTTTTGTGTTGGTTAGGGGGGTACCACCAGCTTTTTCATTAGGGTCTCTACAACAGTTGAAGTCTCCAATGATAGGCCAAGGTAAGGTGATAGAATCAACTATCTCATGTATGTTATTCCACAAAATTTTCCTTTCGATAAAGGAGTTGCTAGCATAAACAACAGTAACAACAGAAATGGGAGAAGAGCCAACTAAAATGGTGCCATAAACAAGTTGGCTAGTGGTACGTTCGGGAATGAACTTCACATTCGCCTCATTCCATTTATCCCAAATGTGACCTGGGTTGGAATGCAAAAAATTATCAGAAGAACCTTATAAAGGGAAGATATTGTGTTGGGCTTGGAACCAAGGGTTAGAGAGGTTAGCTTGGGTGATTTTGGCTTCTAGGATAAAGATGAGATCAATGTTGTGGTTTTTAACTAGCTATTTGCAGCATAAGACTTTGTCAGGGCTATTAAACCCACGAATGTTCCAGGCTTCAATTTTGGGTGTGATCATTGGCATTTGGGAGTGGATGATTTTTTGGCATTTTTGCATATGTTCTGTTTGTTGGCTTGTATGTTTGAATGTACTAGAATTGGATGTGGATTGCTCATAAGAAGGGGGAATTATAGGTTGGTGGTTGCGGGGGGAAGTGTGCGGTGGGCTATGGGTTGGTAAGGTCTGTAGTGGAGTTAGGATCCTAGAATGGGTTGAGAGATTGATCAAACTTGTCATTCTCGGTTAGAGCATGAAATTTGTTCTTAATATTGATTGAAAAGGTGGGTTCTTGCAGAGGAGGTGTAGGCCCTGAGAAGTCGATGTGGTCACCAGAAGGAGAGTTTAGGTTTGGGACGATGGGTTCAGAAGGTGGATTCTATATTAGGGGAGATAGTGTGGAGGGTTGGTTAAGTTTATGCGGAGGTGTCAGTTTCAGTATGGTGAGTCTGGGCATTTGAGGCTTTCAGCATGTACTTCTACCTCTGGGCCTGGTAGTAGGAGGAGGATGAAGTATTGGGTCTTTAGGGCATAGTGTAGCGGGTGTATGATAGAGCCGCACTGGGAGCAGGGCTCAGGCTTCCAGTCGTATTGGACATAGAGAGGAAAGGTTTTGCCATCAACACAATAATAAATTTCTTTCAGGAGGGTTGAAAAACTAGTAATTTAGATGCACTCTCTAGCAAAAGTCAATCACGTTTTGGCAGTAATGAGGGCGTCAACAGCTAAGGGAATACCAACACGGCTAACAAGTATAAAAATACATTCCGGGGTCCAGAGAGAAAGCGGGAAGTTCATTATCTTGATCCATAGGGGAATCGATGGAAATTCTTCACGCTTTGGGACAAAGTCAGATGGCCACTTTTGGAGGATGAAAGGCTTGTCGAAGAAGAACAAAGGTCCACTGGTCCAGGTGAGGTCGTAATCTTCCATAGAAGACAACTTTAAAAGGAAGAAGCCATCACCCATCGTGAGCAAAGAGAAAGAACACTTGAGATTCCACGTCTTTTTGATGGTCGAAAGCAGGGCCTTGTAAAAAGGTCTTTTGCCGATGGAATAACCAACAAGCAATAGAGACCATTCGAAAGCTCCAGCGACAAACTCTTTTCTAGTAAACTGAGCATTGAGGTTTTGAGTGGGGACAAATGAAAGGGAATGGGAAAATTCATTAAAGACTTGTGAAATGGTGGTGAGAAGGATCTTCCAATCAAGTGGGGAAACAGTCGCTAAAGGGAGAATAGAAGCAGAGTGAGAAGAAAGCGGGGGGAACATGGTGTCGGCCATGGGGAGAAGGCCCCAGCGGGGGTGGTGGGAGAGAGCAAAACTAGAGCAACGAGCGCAGCTTCTATTGAAAACCCTTATTCAACAACTTAGAACCTTAGTCCAAACATAACATCAGCTGTCATTGTCCGTCGATATTGATTAAGGCTTGATTTTATCGGGTGTGAATATCGTCGTTTTAGTAAAAAACGATATTGATGTTTGGATACATATATTTTACAAAATTGTGTTTTTCAAACCTCTATTATCCTTTAAAATTATGAAGCTTTTTATTTTTTCTTTTCTGTTCATAAAAGGCAGTTTTGGAACCACCGTCTACCAAACGAAGCCTAAGACTGCAGAGGCGTTGCACTATTTTGGAAAGAATATGGCCATCATCGTTCAAAGAAAAGCGTCACCATTTTGAACGATTCAAGCGTCAATGTCGTTGGTAACGATGTATATCAAATAATTTATATTTGAATAATCATTCCTGCTTATTTCTTTAACAAGTGTATTAAAATTTTTATTTTCAATAAAACAATTATTTTTATTTGTGAAACCATTTTTTAAATTATTTGTTAATTGAAGGTTGTTTGAAGGCGTTCACAACTGGATCTTTGATCGTATCAAGTTCAAATATTTGATCAATTCTGATTTGAACTTTTGTTTGAGCCAAATTTGAATATTAGTTTAAATGTGACACAAATATGATTTGAATTAGATTCAAATATTTTCTTCGCGAGCATCTATCCCATAATGCCTTCCTAGGGAGCTCAATTGCACACCAATATTCCTTAGATGCCTTCGCTAATAGGGTTCATCCTCAAACTTCTCTTACACGCACACTCATTCATTCTGTTGTAGTCTAACATCAACAAGCTCCCATCTCAAACTTCTTTAGGTCATCTCCAATCGAAAATCTAAATTTTCAGTTCAAAATGCCGTGAAAATAAAAAATGCAGTGATTCATCTCCAATCGAACTCCATTTTGCCCCCTTTTGCAAAGGTAACGACCGTTCTTTCGTTCGCGCGTTTCTTCGGTAGAGACAGAAAAATAGCATATATGAACAGTGCAACGTCAATATTGATGTTTCACTATTCAACCACAACCAAATAGAATAAGTTTTATAGTTCTGTTGGAGCTCGCAAGCAACGTCATTCAAGCGTTTGGAGTTCGGTTGGAGATGCCCTTAGCCCTTCACATTCACCAGTCCTGCAATGCCTTCCCATCATTGTCTTCTAATGATCTACACCAGCGAAAACCTCTTAATTTCACATTGTCGATCTCATCGATGCCTAACCCCAACTATTTCCGTTAGCATATCCTTCTCATTCGCGCGCAACCACTCTCGTCAAAGCCCTCACCCAACTAAAGATGAAAGCAAACTCATTTTCTCCTTCATATGTCACTACCATAAATGTCTGGTGAGAGGACAAGGAATAAGGTAAGGCCAATTCAATCCATTTCAAATCAGATTTAACTATATTTGAGCCGAGGTTAGAACCATGCTAAAGAAGAGATGTCTTCCACAAAAAACTCAAAATTTTCACCAAATTAGTTTGAATATTTGTTTTTCATGTATTCTAACGATTTATATCAATTTTAAAATTTTAATAGAATGTATTGTTTTAACAATAAAAACTTGAAATGATACTTTAAATGTTGTTTATCAATGCTTACATTTTGCAAATATAAAGCATGTGTACGTATAAGCATTTTCCCCTTAAATTATCAAGTTTGTGGTAAAAGTGAATATTCATGTATTCCTACATTATGTTAGTATCATTCTTATACGCTGAAAAATGTTGAAGTCATTATTCATGCCTATTAGAAATGTTGATATTGCTGTTTATGCATTAGTCTTTTATAGGGGAGAATTAGACCCCATATAAAAGATCCATGCATCCTCCTTGACTCCCAAGGATACAATTTAAAGAAAATAATTAGAAAATAAAATTTGATTGCTCTTATGTATGAGTTATGTGTATGAATCTATCTTAATTGGTCTAAAAAAATCATATTTTTGCCAAACACTTTCTATGACTTCGTTTGACAATGATTTTCTTACTATTTTTAAACTATTTTTTTATTTATTAAATTTTAATTAAAAAATATTTTAAAAAGCAATAAAAAATTAAAGTAAAAACAGCAGTCCGCCAAAGATACAAGAAGATTTTTGCTGAGGGGCCAGGTAAAGATCAGCATTTCATAAATGTACAAAAACAAAGCTACAGATCTGCTAACACGAAGACATTGACGAAAAGTCGAAAATGACCCCGTACGGCAGGGGCAAAACGGGAAGCGGCCGATCCATCTCAGTCGCCGGCGTCGTCGTCGGAAAAGATGGAGACGCGATAGTACAGAAGAAAGAGAAGGAGGACGAGGACGGCAGCAACGCCTAACGGAGACCCACCAACGCGGTGGATGGCATCCGGCGAGCCGAAGGAAAAGAGATCGGAGACAGCATAGGCTCGGTCTGAAGAAAGGAAACGGATGAGGAAAACAAGAACCACCGGGAGAAGTAGGAGTCCCGCCGGGCTCAGCAAGTCCGATATGGCTTCTGTAACGGCGGCGCCTCCATCTCCGAGGAAGAACGGTGCCGCCGCGAGTACTCCGGCCACCACCAGAAGCAAAAAACCATGCGGCGGAGATGCGGCTGCTCGACCCTCTTCGATCATTTCGAAATGCTTCTGAAGCTCACTCTTTACTCCCACTCTTTACTCTTTTATGAGAGGAAGAGCAATTATTAGCCCAACAAAAAGAGCTTTTTAGCCTGATCAGTGACTCTAGGGTTGTGGTCTCCTCAGCTAAATACAGGAAGTTAAGAGAGAGAGAGATCAGAGATGGATGGGCTGCTGGTAAAAAAGGGAAAGCTAAAGTAGCTGAGAAAATGATCAGTGTAATTTATTATATTGCATTTGCATATGAAGGAAAAAATTATTATAAATTTATAATATCTCAGCTTAAATTTGATTTAATTATATATTTAATAATTTTTAAATTTGTTTTAAAAATATATAATATATTATTAATTAATTAGTTACATTTATATTATATTTATTTTAAAATAAATTATTATTTAAATTTTATTTGTATTATTTTTTATATATCTTAAACTAAAATAGCATAAAAATTAATTATAAAATTACTTTTGTAGAAAATGCATTAAATTTTAACCAAATAAATACCATCTATTTTAAAAAGTAAAAGCAAAAGTTAAATTATTAAACATTTGTGACTTTATGACCTCATTTTAATGTTTTTCTTTTTAAGAGATCCGAATAAAAAAATATTTCTCAGAAATAAAAAGGACAGGTGGAATTAATTTGAGATGGTGGAGGAGCACATGGCAGAAGCATGGAGGAAGCAGAGTAATTGAATATTTTATTTTGAGATATATATATATATATATATCTTGAAAAAAAATTCATAATTAGGAGAATTTTTGGTGGCCGTTGTAATTCATTTAGGTGATGTTTGGGTTTAATTTTAAAAAAAATAAAAGTAATTTAAAGGTAATTATTTGAATTAAAATAAATCAAATGTAGTATAAAAATTTAATGTATTTGAAATTAAATTAGTTGTAGATCATCGTTGGCTATCCCCACACTTTGTCGGCCCATTAAGGACCACCGTCACCGCATCCTATCACTGTAATCGTCGTTCCCTCCAACCTCAATCGTTGTTGTTAACCATTAGCTATCATCATGGCTAACCACCACCGCTCTTAGCCATAATTTCCGCCACCCACCACCACCTATCGTCATCAGACATGCTTTACACTGTGATACATCGTCAAAAAATTATCTTGATCGGGCACGAATCTCGATGCAGAATCAAGTTGGAAACTTCAAAATTAATTCGGAGACCATCTGAACTCCGATTTCATCAAACTTATATTCGAACTGAGCGTCTCGGAAATACGAATCCAACGACTCCAAATTCGACTCAATCCTAGCCCAAATGAGTCCAAATCAAGGACCTGAAGCGCTGTTGGAAGCTTCATAACAATGTTTGAGTTACCCTGATTTTTACGAGCTTATACTCGAATCGAACGACTCGACGAGACGAATCCAACGAGCCCAAGATCGCCGAATTCCGACATCTCTAAGACCTTCAAATGTCCAATGAACGGTGCACAATCGTAGGATTCGATATCGGCCGTCCATTCGACCACTCCCTATTCTCCCCTGATCTCACGCCTATTTACGAGTTATGCCATTCCAGAAAATCTATAAATAGAGCCCTCATTCTTCATAAAGGGGAGGGGGAAGCAAGAAGAGAAGAGGAGAAGAGAAGGAAGAGGAGGAATAAGCTCCTCCTCGACCATCGCCAGAACCTCGCCGGACCACCGTCGGAGCTCACCAGACCACCGCCATAATACTTAGACTTAGAGACATCTTGAACACCCCAGAATTTTCTAGAATTTTTTTAGGTCTTGTTAGACGCCTTAACGAACCAACCCTAATTAACCTGCTAAATAAGGCCCCGAGACCTTCTAAAAATTATAATAAATATATTTTATGTCAAAAAATTACCCATAATACATTGATTTGACCAGAATCTGCTCCTTGACCTTAGATAAATAGGGCTCCTTAGTTTGATTCTAGATTGACCCTTAATTTGACCTTAAGTGGAAATTACCTTTTTTCCCCAAATAAATTATTAAAAAATATTAAAAATACCAAAGTTTTACCAAACACTTAGGATCACTTTATTAGGTCATCCTTGAATTTTGGGAGTGATTTCAATCTGTTTGGAGCTTATTTGGATCAAAACGATATAATCAGCCCTTTAATGGATAATTTAGAAAATTTCATAAATGTCATGAACTTAGAAAATTCATAACTAATTGTAGAAAATTCCAAATTAGGCAAACTCACTTGCATTAGACTCCAATTAGGATCTAGTATTAATTAAAAAAATTAGATTTTTATAAAATAGCCTAGATTAGAAAGTCAACCTTTTGGTCAACCGTAGTTTATTTAGGGCTCGAAACTTAGAAAATTCATAACTTTGCCTAGAAAACTCCAATTTTAGTGTACTACCTGGCTAACTACTCACCTTAGGGTCTAGTATTTTTTTTAAATATTAGGAGACCTACATTTTACATATTTACTATAGTGACTTTTTGGACACCCTCAACCTAGCACCTAGGAGGATCCGGGACCTTTCAAAATCGGATAATGCAATTTAAACTTCAAATATGGCTACCCTAAGATTTTAAAAATGATTAACAAACTAAATTAACTAAAATGGACCATAATACATTAATATTTGAATTTCAATTAAAATTTCCTTTTCTAGCCTATAACAAACTCGAACTATAGGCAATTTTAACTAACTACCATGCTTAGGACCCATCCAAACCACACAAGCCTTACACACGCATAGAATTGTTTGCTAGGGCACCACTTCTAGATCTAGGCTAGGCCGCTGGGTTTTATTTTCTGCTGTGTGCCAGAGCTTTCTGTGATTTTCATTGCATGCTGTTTGAAAATGATTGGTGTGTTTGCTTACTTTTTCTGCACTCTGTGGATAATGTGATGAGCACTAGATCTACCCCTAGGTTAGGAGTGATATATATATATATATATATTCTATTCTTTTTAATCTAATGTTGTCTTATACAGGTGCTTGCTCAGCCCCCTAACAAAATGAGGGCTAATTTCATTAATTATAATTGTTACAGGTGTTTCAGAGATGCTTAGCCCTCATAATTAAGAGCATGGCTTGGCACAGGTTCAATGTGATGTGTTTTATTTTCATATATAAAATGCTTGTGATTTTTAGGATAATCATGCAGGGATTCTAGAATTTTCTATTTCCAATTGATGTAAAATTTCTAATAATTAGTAAAGAGTTGTGAAAATAACTTTGAGTGTGGATATTCTTATCCAACTCGAATTTCAATAGAAGAAGGCATCCCTAAAAGGGAGAGTCTTCTTCCATTTGGGAGATCGAGTTGGATGGCTTTAGATATCCAAAGAGAAAAGACAATACCCCATACCAAGGAGGAATTATCTCTTCGTTTGGATATTCAAGCCATGACGGATCCAAGGAGTCCAAGGAGGAGATTTTCAAGGAGTCCAAGGAGGAGAGATCCAAGGAGTTCAAGGAGAAAGATCCAAGGAGTCAAAGGAGAAGTGATACAAAGAAGACTAAAGACTGAAGACTGAAGACCAATATCCCACTCAAAGTCATTTGCGTCTATCATAGGCTTAGAAATCCGGGTTGTTGGCAGTGGTGCTCGGCCACTTTACTTTCTGCATATCTGGGTTGTAATAAGGGTAGTTTGCCTATGACCATTTAGTTGATGTTTTTTTTATATTGATATGTTTACCTGATTGTGCAGTAGAAATTGTCTATTTTTCTTAGGTTTCTTTTCTTGCATGCCAATTTTGTTTTCGCCTGGATTTTCGTTAGGCTCTTTAATGACTATAAAAATTCTTCTACTCATAACTAATTTTTAAAATTCTAAGTTTAAATAATATAGAAATCTAACGAACCTAGGGAATTGCCAGAATTGTTCGGGGTCACATGCATATTACTGCATCATTCTTTCCTTGTTATAAGACATCTCCCTGCCTGCGGGTAGAGTCCGGATGATCTGGCTTATGAGGATGAAGTGCCAGACCTATGGAGACACAGTCTTTTCAAAAAATTATTTTCTATAAGCCTATTTTTAAAACTCTATAGCATTCATGAGCTGACATTTCAACTAGCATACATTGCATTAGTAACCAACTAAATAAAATTTTATTGTATTAGCTAGAAGCATTTGACCCACATAAGTTCATGACCACTTAGAAAACTCTCTAGATGTCGGTCATACTTCCAAAAACTGTACCTCCCACCCATCTTTCATAATTGACTTGATAGCATGGTTTTAAATTGATTAGGTGGTTAGCTGGCTCCCCAATCCAGGCCGAGATAAGTTCAGATCTTTGCACTACATTAGCTAGGACACGGGTCTTAGTATTGTGTAGAACACTAAGCCTAATCTAGATCTAGGATTCGAGACTACTACATTCGGTCTCGTAGTATGCCTTAAATAGTAGGTAGGTCCCTTCCTTTCATGGACTATAAATCCTACTTATATGCATCACAGGATGACGCCACCTCCATTTTTTCTCTCATGCATGTGATTGAGTGCTTGATTTTTTTTCCCAGTTTCTCTCTAGTGACCTAAAGCCTCCGAATACGGGTATGAGCCACGCATGTTGATTCAGCCCTTCGGACCTTTCTTCATTTTGAATAGGACTTCCTAGTCTACATCCCTGTGACAATCCCACTTTTAGGAGGAGATAATGTATGATCCTTAATCGAGAGTTTTCTCAGGCTCTGACCTGGGATGTAATTAACTACGGGGGCTCGCGCCCGTGGGAAACGCGGTCCCACATCTACTAAACCTCATTCAAACTGTTGTATCGGATGGAGGAAACCTGTGACGAGGTCGTGTATATTACTACCCATTAGGGGTGCATTGGCAACATCATCTATCCTCAATGGTTAGTCGTATGCACGATCCAATCTGCCCTTCCATCGACATGTTCGCGTCGAGTGTAGAGGCATATGATCGTTTTGTCCTACGGGATAGTGCGGTCGTACCCTCTGCATTTGTACCCCATGAGCGGTGCTCTTTCGGAGGTCCACAGCCGTATGGTCATTTGTATATATATATATATATATATATATATCGGAATTCATCTTTATGGATGAAGTTTGCTCTTAGAATTCCTTGGAGGACCCAAATTCTCTTTAGAATTATAAGAATTCTTTAAATTGGTTGAATGGTGGTTTAGTCATAATTTTTATTAAAGTCCAATTAATTTTTATCCAAAATATTTCTTATAGTGCAGATGGAGATCACATAT